ACTCTTCCAACTGTTTCCTAATGTGGTTGAACCATTTTACATTCTCACCATCAGCGTCCAGGGCTCTAGTTCGTTCAGTATCCTCACCAACGTTTGATATGTTGATCCTTTAATTTTAGTCTTTCTGTTTGGTTTATAGTGCTATCTCATTGTGGTTTTAATTTGAATATCCCTTTTGACAAATGATTTTGAACATCTTTTAATGTACTAATTTGCCATCTTTATACCTTCTTTGTTAATATATCTTTTAAGATATTTTGTACATTTTAAAATTAGGTTATTTATCTTCTTATTAAGTTGTTAGGGTTTTTTATCCTAGATACGAGTCCTTTATTGGATATATGGGTTTGCAACCACTCTGTAGGTTGTCCTTTTATTTTCTTAACAATATCTTCTGAAGAGCAAAATTTTTTATTTTGACAGTGTCCAGTTTATTATTTTTTGTTTTATAATTCATACTTCTTGTGTCATGTTTAAGAAATCTTTGCCAAATTCAAGGTCACTAAGATGTTCTTATATGTTTTCTTCAAGAAGTTTTATAATTTTACCTCTTAAGTTTAGGTTGATGAATGATTTCAAGTTAATTGTTGTTTATGATATGAGGTAAAGGTCCAGGTTAATTTTTTTTACAGTTGTTCCAGCATCATTTGTTAAAAAAGATGATCCTTTTTCACTGAATTTCTTGACACTTTTTTCAAAAATCAATTGACCATATATATATGGCTCTATCTCTGGACTCTGTTTCTATTCCATTGATCTAAATGTCTGCCTTTGTATCAATACTACATTGTCTTGATTATATACAGTTTTATAATAAGTCCTGAAATCAGTTAGTGTAAGTCCTTCAACTCTGTTCTTTTTCTCTTTGTTTTGCCTATCCTAGGTCCTTTGTATCTGCATATAAATTTTAGAATCAGCTGTCAATTTCTATGAAAAACGTCTGCTGGAAATTTGTTTGGAATTGTGTTGAATCTGTATGCTAATCTGTGCAGAATTGACAACCATTTGCCATAAGTGTGGTATATCTCTCCATTTATTTAGGTCTTCTTTAATTTCTCCCAGCAATATTTTATAGTTTTCAGGGTATAAATCTTACACATATATTTTCAGATTTATCCATAGCATTTCATGTTCCTTGATACTATTTTTTTATTGCAGTAATTTTCTGAGGCAGAATTCAGAGTCAGTAATTCAGTGGCATTTGGTACATTCACAGTGTTGTGTAATCACCAACTCCGCCTACTTTCAAACATTTTCATTATCTCAAAATAAAATCCAGACCCATGAAACAGTTACTTCCCATTTCCTCCCCTGTCCAGGCCCTGGCAACAACCAATCTGCTTTCTGTCTTTACACTTTTGCTTAATCTGGATGTTTCATACAAACAGAAGCCGTTATGTGACTTTTCGTGTCTGGCTCCTTTCACTTAGCATGATGTTTTTGAGTACTGTAATATGTATCAGTACTTCATTCCTTTTTTTTGGCTGAATAATATTCCATCGTATGCACATAGCATTGAGCATTGGACATTTGAGTTGTTTTCACTTCTCGACTCTTGTGAAGAGTGTTGCTATGAATATTCATGTACAAGCATTTTAACATTTGTTTTCAGTTCTTTTGGGGTTATATTCCTAGAACTAGAATTGGTGGGTCATATGGTTATTCTATGTTTAACTTGTTAAGGAACTGCCAAGCTGTTTTCCAGAGTGGCTGCACCATTTTACATTCCCAAAGCAATGTATGAGGGTTCCAATTTCTCCCTAACTGTATAGACTCTTGTTACTTTCTAGGTTTTTTAAATTATTATTAATTTTAGCCATCCAAATAGGAATCAACTGGCAACTCATCATGGTTTTGATTTGAATTTCTCTAATGACTAATTATGTTGAGCATCTTTTCTTGTGCTTGTTGTCTGTTTTTATGTCTTCTTTTGGAGAAATGCTTAATCAAGTTCTTTGCCCATTTTTAAACAGGGTTGTGTGTCTTTTTGTTGCTGAGTTCTTTATATATTCTTGATACTATTTTAAATAGTATTACTTTTTAAATTTCAGTTTCCTACTGCTTGTTGCTAGCATATACAAGTACAGTTGATTCTGTCTATTTATCTTGTACCTTGCAGTCTTGCTTTCTATTTCTATCAATAGTAGGTATTGCCCTTAGGATTTTTTGTATAGGCAATCATGTCATCTACAAATAAACACAGTTTTACTTTTTCCTTTACAATATGTATACCTTTTATTTTATTTTCTTGCTTTATTGCAGTTAATAGAAATTCCTGAAAAATTTGTGCATTGAACTGATGAGAGTGGACATCCTTGCCTTGTTCCTGATCTTACAGAGAAAGCATTCATTCTTTTATTATTAAGCATTATGTTAGCTATAGTTTTTTATTCACAGATTTTCTTTTTCAAGCTGGGAAATTTTTCTTCTATTTTTATATTGCTGAGATATTTTATCATGATAATTGCTGGGATTTATATAATGCTTTTCTCCATTTATTGATATCATCAATGTGGCTTTTTTATTTCTGGTCTGTTATCATGATGAATTATATTGATTGATTCTTGAATGTTAGACCAATCTTTCACTCCTACAGTAAGCCACACCTGGTCATGACGTACTATAATCCTTTTTTTTTTTGACCATGAACATCAGTTTTCTTTTCTTTTTTTTTTTAAGACTATTTTCTTATACAGCAGGTTCTTATGAGTTATCTATTTTATACATATTAGTGTATATATGCCAATCCCAATCTCCCAATTCGTCCCACTACCACCTCCACTACCCCCACTGCCCCGCTTTCCCCCCTTGGTGTCCATATGTTTGTGCTCCACGTCTGTGTCTCTATTTCTGCCTTGCAAATCAGTTTTTTTTTTTAAAACATCTTTACTGGAGTATAATTGCTTTACAATGGTGTGTTAGTTTCTGCTTTATAACAAAGTGAATCAGCTATACATATACATACATCCCCATATCTCCTCCCTCTTGGGTCTCCCTCCCACCCTCCCTATCCCACCCCTCTAGGTGGTCACAAAGCACCGAGCTGATCTCCCTATGCTATGCAGCTGCTTCCCACTAGCTATCTGTTTTACATTTGGTAGTGTATATAAGTCCATGCCACTCTGTCACTTTGTCTCAGCTTTATAATCCTTTGTATATAAATTTTAGGTTGATAGTGTTGCTCAAGTCTCCTGTATCCTTACTGGTTTTCAGTCCACTTATGCTATCAATTATTGAGGGGAGCAAGAGGCTCAATGGGAGACCTAGCCAAGATCTAAGGGTAAGGGCAGTTAGATGTGAGACTGCGGACATTTTCAGAATGTTTTAATTCTGGTTGTTGTTGTTTTAAACTGGGAAATACTATATTCACTAAAAGCTGTGAAAAAATATTTTAATGTTTTATAACAAAATACAGTGACTGAAAAATGAGAGGAAGTGGTATTGAAATCTCTAAAGCACCGACTGATCTCCCTATGCTATGCAGCTGCTTCCCACTAGCTATCTGTTTTACATTTGGTAGTGTATATAAGTCCATGCCACTCTGTCACTTTGTCTCAGCTTTATAATCCTTTGTATATAAATTTTAGGTTGATAGTGTTGCTCAAGTCTCCTGTATCCTTACTGGTTTTCAGTCCACTTATGCTATCAATTATTGAGGGGAGCAAGAGGCTCAATGGGAGACCTAGCCAAGATCTAAGGGTAAGGGCAGTTAGATGTGAGACTGCGGACATTTTCAGAATGTTTTAATTCTGGTTGTTGTTGTTTTAAACTGGGAAATACTATATTCACTAAAAGCTGTGAAAAAATATTTTAATGTTTTATAACAAAATACAGTGACTGAAAAATGAGAGGAAGTGGTATTGAAATCTCTAACCATAATTGTAGATTTGTCTACTTTTCCTTTCACTTCTAGAAATTTTTGCTTCATATATTTTGAAGCTTTGTTATTTGGTCCACAGACATTTAAAATTGTTGCATCCTAATTGATGAATTGACCCCTTAATCATTATGAAATGACGATCTTTACCCTTCTTTCCTAATAAACAGTATTTTCCTTTATAAGCAACTTATCCTAATGATCTAATCTTCCCATCATCTATCATTGAAACTGACTCATTCTAAAAAAAGTGCTTTCTAATGGTCAGTTTTCCAAAGATGTAATGGGTTGCCTCTGCAAGTAACAAAAATTTGGAACAAAGTTTTTAAAGCATGAATGAACTTGTAGCAGTGTTATGTATAAATTTCAAATACGTTTGATCATTGGATTACGTGCTTTTTGAAGAACTTTCTAAGCCTGACCTTCTATGATTCTAATTAGCTGTATATTATGACAATTTACATCTAATAATTAGATGAATTGCTTCATATATTTTCTATCTCATGGTTCTTTTTGTCTGTATATTGTATGTTCTTAAAATATCTCTTCTGATATGTACTCTGGTATTTGTACTCTTAGACAAACTTGATAAAGAGTATGGTTATCATTTATTCCTTTTATCAACTATGTACAGTATCGTCGTTTCTTTAGGTTTTTTTATGAAATATTTTTAAATGTACATATTCTCTTCTCAATTGGATTATAAGCTTTAACGACAAGGATTGTATATTGTCCTTCCCCTCCCACCTGACCCACTGCCAGAATACCCAAAAATACCTAACAGAAATACTGAGCAAATAACATGGGTTCAATTAGTATTATACTTATTAAAAGGTGGAATTAGCTTTCTTGCACTAAGTGCCAGAGAAGAGAAAGGCTAGGTTTGGTGTTTTACCATTAAGACAGAAGGTGTTGGAATTTTAAATCAAATTCGAGAGTCGAATCACAAGGAAAGGAGCCTGTCACTTTCCGTACAATGACAAGGTCAGTATATCATTGAACTTCCACTACATATGTTAAAAGTTTAAAGAAATATTCATTTACCCTTTTTGGAGTTTGTTTTATTTACTTTTTAATTCCATATATATCATAAAGTTAAATTTTTACTTTTATTTTCTTAAAGCAGTTCTTGGAACACCTCACAGCTTGCCACATCTGATGAATCCATCCATCTCCCCTGCATTTTTACATTTGAATAAAGCACATCAGGTATATAAATAGCATTGAGTACTGAAGCATCAAAAATTTGGAGTGAATATTTTGTTTGTTCTTTACACTTAAAGTTCTCAAGGAGTTAAATGAGTATTCTGTTTTCAAATAAAATTCTTAGTAATAAGTGTACCTACATAAAAACAGAACTTAATAAGGAAATCAGATCAAATTAAGGTAATCAAAGCATCATAGTTTATATATTTATTGATTCCTGTTTGTAGGGCATTAAGAAGGGAAGAGGTATATTTTGTGGTATATTTTTCTAGAAATAACTCAGTAGCTCAAAACAAGTTTTATGTGGTCTTAACTCAAAAAAGTATTTACAGAAAGAAAAATGTATGAATAGTAACTCTTAATTCTTAAAACTTAATCCATGTTATAGAAATAATTTATATATTTATGAGAGTAAAAAATTTTTTTCTTACCTTTTTCAGATAAGTATTTTAAACTATGTTTGTGTACATAAATATCCGTAATATTGGAGATAAATATTACCTACTAATTTCAGGTACTGTTTAAGGCTATATCTATGTAGAAGCCTAATTCCAAATCAAACCTAACACATGATAAATGGGTTGTTATAGGTTGAATGAATGAACGTCTGTTCCTAAACGCAGATTATTAAGGAAAAGCCTTATTTATTTTTCATTCTTAGAATCTAACATATGACCTGTACATTTTACATTCATTTACTCAACATATTTTATTGAAAATCTAACACGTACTAGACACTCTGCTAGTCATTGAGGCTATAGCATTGAACAGAATATTCACAGTCCTTATCCTTACAGAATTTCAACAAATAGAGAAAACAAGCATTAAACAGTTAATTACAATAAGGTTTAAAGTGATATGGGAGGGGAGACCAGAGTATTGACAGTATGCCCTTTACTTTAAAATAAAGACCAACTGCTTAATTTTGCTTTGAGGGCCTGTCTAAGCTGGCCTCTCCTGCCTCTCATATGCCTTAGGCATCACTGTCCCAGCTCTGGTGAACTGCTTTTGGTCCGTGAAGGGCTTTCTTCTCTTCTCCTTAGGTCTTTGCTCCTGCTGTTCTTCTGCCTGGAATACTTCCCACCGCAGCACCACCTTGTTCCCCCAGACTTCACCTAGTTATTTCTCCACAGCCTTCAGATCTGTGTGCAAGAGTTAGTTCCTCAGGGAAACCTTCCTTGAATTTACCAATCTAAATCAAGTTCCACCACTATTTGTTTCCATAGCTCCTTGTATTTTTCCTTCATACACTCATTGCCATTTTTAATTGTATGTTTTTATAATTAATTAATGTCTCCCCTCCTCAGGGGACTATAAGATCCGTGAGGGCAGATCATATTGTAGCACAGTGCCTGGCACATAGAAGTGCTCAATAAATATTTGTTGAATGATTAAATGAATAAGTAAATGATTGAATGATACTGACATCAAAGCCAGAAAGGGGTGAGGGGAGGGGAGGAAGGATGAAAGAAAAGAAGGAAGGGATATGGTATTAGTTTCATGACTGCATGGTCACATCTTGTGTGTTATTGAAAGAATTAATTAGTGTTGCCCATAATTAGAAAGTAGACTATTAAGAAGCTGTTGCTTTTGCTCAGATCAACTCAGGAATTGAACTTTAAAATGAATTACACAACAAGTAGCTCTTCAAAATTAAACTAACTTAATGTTTTATCATTTTCACAGAGCTCACTTATGGGTAATACTTCTAATTTATTCCTTCAGAATCTTTCTCATGTACCACTGGCACAGCAACAATTAATGAAGTTTGAGAATATTCATACTAATAATGTAAGTAGGGAATTATTTTTTTCATTTGAAATGAGTTCATTCCTTTTCTGTAATCAGGCTGTTGGTCAGATTGTTAATGAATTTTCACATGTGTAGCTTTTTTATTAGGTTATGTCTTGTTGCCATGAGCAAAAGTCTTTTCTTCTCTTCTTTTGCAGAAACCAGGCTTACTTGGAGAACCCCCAGCTATGGTACTTCAAGCTGCAGTAGGGATAGGGTCACCGCTTCCATTGAAAACAGAGTTGGGCCATCTTGGAGAAGCACATAAAAGTAAATTATGTGTATTTGCTGAGACGTCAGTAAACGGTCAGATTTGAGATTTAAAGATAGTGTACCTGTATTCTACTTTTATTTACAGGAAGGTCAGATTTGAGTTTTATTCAATCATTTAAAATTTCAAGAGCCCTCTTGGCTTTTCTATTTTTAATATTAGAATACTATTGGTAGTTATTTATTGATGGACTTGCTTCTATGCCAAGATAAGACTTTCTCTGTTGGATATGCTTTAATATTTGATGAAGGTTCACAGCAGCATGAGGCAGAGACATAGATCTATTTGAGACTGACATGCTGCCCACTGGGCTGACAGCACATTACATAGGGATCCATTTAATTTTTGCCTGGATAAGAAACCCTTGGCTTTTATTAAGAAATATCTGGTAATGATAAATTTAAAGTTTGATTGTTTATTTGTATCATTTCTAAAATGTGAGCTCCAAATTCGTAGTAAAAAAAAAATGTGTATTCTGTGCTTCTAAAATATAACAAATTTAAACAGAACAGTTATTTTTCTTTTCAGAATAATAGCATGGTAGTATACCAAGGTGTCTTATGTGATTTTGAAAGGCACTTTCAATTTGAAGTTTAACTGAAATTTGTTCGAAGTGAGGATGCTGAGGGGAAAAAAAGGAGAAAGTCCACCAGTGATAAAAAAGAAAAAAAAAACAAGTCAGTTAAATATGGGTAGCATATTTAGCCTCTTGTACATGAAACCAAGTCAAATGGTCAGATAATCAATTCAGACTATTGCAGTTGACTGGGCAAAAGTTAAACCAGTACACAGACAGGTATAGAAATTTTTATAGTGTGATAGAGTCTGTCCTAAAAATTAAATATTGTATGCCTAAAAGCTTATACAGATATTTATAATTTGTGTTGGATTAACTAACTAGCCATTTGCTTCAAGCACTGCTGCTTTAAGAACACTGAAAATTCAAAGTGTCCAAATAAATATATTGCTAAAAGATAGAACTGAGAATCTCTCTCTAAATAGTTAGTACTAAAAATAATTTAAGAAATTGGTTTAGTGAATTTGTAAACTATAACTTTGATTTAATTAAGATAGTTGTCAAGACTAGCTCTTTTCATTTAGTTTTGACCTACAGAGTTTTAAAAAATGGAATGGTTCAGAATTTTCCTATTAAAATTTTATTTCTTCCAGAATTTCTTGTTATTCCCTGTAAATAAAAATGTAAAACTTTAATGTGTTAAACTTTCATTTGGCGCTTAGCTACTCATAAATATTGATGTTTTTTTTAAACCAGTGGTGTGCTGATGTTTAAAAACCAGCTCTCTGGGTTAAAAAAAAGTCTTGATTTGTAGCATTTGTGGATTTCTGTGTGTAAACAGTCCAACCGTGGCTGATTTCAGGTTACCCATGCAAAGACGTTGAACTCAAGATCTGGGAAGAGATAGCACAGTTGACTCTTATGAGCTGGTGCAAGCTGGCTGACTAAATGTATTGTTGGGTTTAATGTAACTTCATTAATTTTTGAGTGTCAGAGACTTTTTTTAAACTGAAGGCTTCGTTAATTATTCCCTTCAAATATGAAAGCAGGCAAATTACAATGGGCATTAAAAAAAAAGGCACTGATAAAACTTAAGTGCCAAAAAGTATATAAATTTTGCTCTCACCTTCTAAAATGTACAATTAAAACTTGGAACTAAAAAATATAATATCCTTGAGATTATCCTGGAAGTTGTTGAAAATAGGAAAAGCATGATTACTATTAGAGGTTTTTGTTTTGCCATACAGGAGGCTGCTAATTTATAACCTTTAACCTCACCTTTTGTATTTTAACTATTCTCTAATAGGTAAAAAAATAGGTTTCTGCACATTGTGCCCATAACTTGGCAAAATCAAAAGGACTATTGTGAATAAGCTTCATCTAACCAAAAACTTTTTGCATTTGCGGTTCACTACAGCATCTAATTTGATTCCACCTCAAACAACTATAACAGCTGGCATGGGCATGTTACCATTTCTTCCAAATCAGCACATTGCTGGACAAGCTGGGCCAGGGCACGGGAACACTCAGGAGAAACAGCCAACCTTGGTGGGGATGGCAGAAGGAAATTTCTCAGGGTCACAGGCTTATCTTCAGAGCTTTCCAAACCTTACTGCTGGAGGCTTGCTCACGGGACATCATAAACAACAACAAAGTCAGCCAAAAGGCCTGGAGATAAGTTCAGGGGTAAGAAAACTGTGTGTGTGTGTGTTTGTGAGTGTGTGCATGCATGCATACACATACATGTAAATGCACACGTGTATATACATGAAGTATACATGTGTATACTACATTATGTATATACTACAAAGGAATATATATATATATTCCTTTTAAACTATATCTTAAATTATTCTAATTCGAGAGTAATCTAATTTTTGGTTATTTTACAGGTGGTATAATTTATGAAGTATCAGGCAGTCTTAACTATTTTTGAATTTCAAAGGAAGTTGATAATATACTTAAAGTATATAAATGTGGATTATAAACTAGATAATACATCAATGACATGAAGGCTTTTTCATACTGTACATTTACTTCTCAAAAGAGAAGAAAATATTGGACTCTAAAAAAAACAAAACCTGTCATTATAAACAAACAAAAATCCATCCTTTGATAAGTTATGCCAAATGATGTTTGGGATTCTGCTTAATTACTTGCCAGTTTGTAAATAAAATAATTTAATTTTTATAAAATGTTTTTAAAATCTGTTATTATAAAATATTTAAATATGAATTCTTTATTCCTGTAAACATTTGCTTTTCTAAAAACTTTGAGATATGCACAGTTTTCAAATATAAAGGAATATAAGTTCAAAATTTTGTAGTTTGGAAAAGTGTAGTAGTACCATTAATACTTATCCAATTATATAATGATATTATTTATAAGGATTTCTTAGTAAATAATAATGCTGTTCTTTAAAATATACTAATTTTTTCTAAAATGTATATTCTGTAGCTAATTAAGTATTATTTTAATATTTAAAGGTAGAATAAATTCTATTTTATCTGAAAAATTTCAAAGCCAGTTATTAATCTCTGGTCTGTTCAAAAGAATCTAATCTTGGTTTTAATTCTCGGTTTTTACCCGAAATTTTATTGGTTTATAAACCACTGATATTTGTAAATGTTATAATTGGTAGGTAGAATAAAGTACATTTAATTTTTTTTACTTGTACCCTAGAATACCCTTTGGATTAGAAGTGGCATGTGAGGAAACAGTTCTTGTAGTTGGCTATATTCAAATATCAAAATAGTAATATTGACTTTGTAAGAGGTTTTGGTGTCACCTAGTCATGGCAGGAGGTATGGATAGAATGCCTATAATTATACATTGAGGAAGCTAAGGTGGTTCTTCATAGAATGAATTTTAAAAATTTATCTGCAGGGTTAATTGCTTAAGTTATTGAGGGAAGTTAAATAAAACTCATATATGAATAGTCTGTATCTTTTTGCACAGACTTTTTAATTCATTGGAGGCACTAGGGTCTTTAGAAAAACTGGACTTGAGGTGATTCACATAATGGGCAAATGAGAGTGTATCTGGAAGAAGACAGGTGAAGTGGGACAGGGCCTGGAAAACATGTCCCGTGAAGAAGAATTGAAGGAAATAGATACATGGAACTTGGCAAGGGTTGACCAGCTGACATTTTATTTGACATTAAAAAAAAAAAAAGAAATTTACAGACTAGTCTAGTCACATGGTATTTTATGTTTCTCTAGTGGGCAGAATTAGTCCGATAAGTATGGCATACAGTAAAGCAGATTTAGGCTTAATATAACAAAGAACAGTTGAAGTTTTCAAAGAAAGAAAAAGTTTGACACTTTCACAAAGATGTGAATGTCATATCACTGAAAATGATTAGGCAGACCCCAGGTGAACATCTGTACAGATTGTTGTAGAAGTGACTCTTCTTTCCTGACAATAGGGGCTTTGGACCAGGTAACCTCAAAGTATGTTTTCCAAGTATGTAGCAAGATTTTGGACTTGGTTAAACAGTTGGTTAAACTCAGCTGTAGGTTTTTAGACCTGCATCTTTAATATTATGTTGACCAGTGATTCTTGATTCTGTCTTTTTGTCAGAATCACCACTGGAGTTAAAAAAAAAAAAAAAAAAAAAAAGATGGAGAGGATTGGACTCTAACTTCCTCAGCCCCGAGAATCTGATTCAGAGAGATGGGGTGAGATCTGAATTTTAAGTGTACAACTCAGTGGCATTAAGTACATTCACATTGTTTTGCAACTATCACTACTATCCATCTCCAGAACTTCTTCATCATCCCATATTGCAGCTCTGTACCCATTCAACAACTCTCCATTTCCCCTGCTCCCCAGCCTCCAGTAAACACTGTTTACTTTCTGTCTTAGAATTTGACTATTCTAGGTACCCAAAGTAAGTGGAATGATACAATTTTTGTCCTTTGTGTCTGACTTATTTCCATCACCATAGTGTCTCCAAGGGTCATCCACGTCATAGCCTGTATTGGAATTTCCGTTTTTTAAAGGCTGAATAATATTCTATTGTATTTATAGACTACATTAAAATAATTTTTATTTATTTATTTATTTTTGGCTGTGTTGGGTCTTCGTTGCTGCCCACAGGCTTCCTCTAGTTGCGGCGAGTGGTGGCTACTCTTCGTTGTGGTGTGCGGGCTTCTCATTGCAGTGGCTTCTCTTGTTGCGGAGCATGGGCTCTAGATGCATGGACTTCAGTAGTTGTGGCACACGGGCTAAGTAGTTGTGGCTCACGGGCTCTAGAACACAGGCTCAGTAGTTGTGGCACACTGGCTTAGTTGCTCTGTGGCATGTGGGATCTTCCCGGACCAGGGCTCAAACCCGTGTCCCCTGCATTGGCAGGTGGATTCTTAACCACTGCACCACCAGGGAAGTACCTAGACTATATTTTCTTTTTCCATTTGTCCATTGATGGACATTTGGGTTGTTTCCATCTTTGGGCTCTTGTGAAAAATGCTGCTATATACAAATATCTGTTAGAGTCCCTGTTTTCAGTTCTTTGGGGTATTTACCCAGAAGTGGAATAGCTGAATCATATGGTACATCTATATCTTATTTTTTGAGGAACTGCCGCTCTATTTTCCACAGCAGCTGTACCACTTTTCATTTCCACCAGCAAAGCACGAGGGTTCCAATTTCTCCACATCCTCACCAACATCCTGTCTCATTGTGGTTTTGGATTTGCATTTCCCCAATGATTAGTGATGTTAAGAACCTCTTCATATGCCTATTGGTCACCTGTATATCTTCTTTGCAAAAATGTCTATTCAGATTCTTTGCTATTTTTTTAATTGGGTTATTTGTTTTCTTTGCTATTGAGTCATGAGTTCCTAAATATATTTTGGATATTAACCCCTTCTCAGATATATGGTTTGCAAATATGTTCTCCCATTCCATAAGTTGCCTTTTAATTTTGTTGATTGTTTCCTTTGCTGTAGAGAAGCTCTTTAGTTTAGTTTAGCTTTTTAGCACTTATTTTTGCTTTTGTTGTCTATGCTTTTGGTGTCATATCCAAAAAATGATTGCTAAGACCAATGTCAAGTAGCTTTTCCCCTATATTTTCTTCTAGTTTTATGGTTTCAGGTCTTATATTTAAGTCTTTAATCCAGTTTGAGTAAATATTTGTGTGTGGTGTAAGATCAGGATCCAGTCTCATTTTTTTCCATATGGACATACAGTTTTCCCAACACCCATTTATTAAAGAGGGTGTCCTTTACCCATTGTGTATTCTTGACGCCCTTTTCAAATACTAGTTGACCACACATATATGGCTTTATTTGGGGGCTCTGTTCTTTTCATAGGTCAGTTTTTATGCAAGTACCATACTGTTTTGATGACTATGGCTTTGTAATATAGTTTGGAACCAGGAAATGTGATGCCTCCGCTTTGAACTCTTTCTCAAGATTGCTTTAGCTATTCAGGATCTTTTGTGGTTCCACATAAATTTTAGGATTGTTCGTTCTATTTCTGTGAAAAGTGCCATTGAAATCTTGATAGGGATTGCATTGAATCTGTAGATCGCTTTGGTCAGTGTGGACATTTTAATAATATTAATTCTTCTAATCCATGAACCCAGGATATCTTCCCAGTTATTTGTGTAATTTTTGATTCCTTTTATCAATGTCATATAATTTTCAGTATACAGTTCTGTCACCTCCTTGGCTAAATTTATTCCTAATGGCTAAATTTATTCCTAAGTATTTTAGTCTTTTTGGTAGTATTATAACTGGGATTGTTTTCTTAATTTCTTTTTTAGTAGTTCATTGTTAGTATATAGAAATGCAACAGATGCAAACAGAGATGGTTCAGTTTCTTCCTTTTTGATTTAGATGCCTTTTATTTCTTTTTTCTTGCCAAATTGCTCTGGCTAGGACTTCCAATACTATGTTGAATAAAAGTGGTGAGAGTGGGCATCCTTGTCCTTTTCCTGATCTTAGAGGAAAAGCTATGATGTTAGCTGTGGGCATGTCCTTTATATATGGCTTTTATTATGTTGAGGTATATAGATTTCCTCTATGCCCAGTTTGTTGAGAGTTTTGATCATGAAGTGATGTTGAATTTTGTCCAAGGTGTTTTTTGCATCTATTGAGACAGTCGTATGGTTTTTATCCTTTATTCTGTTAATGTGGTATATCACATTTATTGATTTGCCTGTGTTGAACCATCCTTGCATCCCAGGGATAAATCCCACTTGATCACAGAGTACAATCCTTTTAATGTGTTGTCAAGTTCAGGTTGCCAGTATTTCATTTAGGGTTGCTAGTATTGTGTTAAGGATTTTTGAATCTGTGTCCATCAGGGATATTGGCCTGTAGTCTTCTTTTCTTGTAATGTTCTTGTCCGGCTTTGGTATGAGGGCAGTGCTGACCTCATAAAATAGGTTAGGAGGTATTCCTTCATCTTCACTTTTTGGGAAGAGTTTCAGAAGGATTGGTGTTAATTCTTCTTTAAATGTTTGGTAGAATTCAGCAGTGAAACCACCTGGTCCCAGGCTTTTCATTGTTGTCAGGTATTTGAGTACTCCTTACTTATTATTGGTCTGTTCATATTTTCTATTTCTTCTTGATTCAGTCTTGGTAGGTTGTATGTTTCTAGCAATTTATCCATTTTTTCATAGGTTACCCAATTTTTTGGCATCTATTTGTTGATAATAATCACTTATAATTCTTTGTATTTCTGTGTATCCGTAGTTGTAATTTCTCCTCTTCCATTTATAACTGCAGTTGACCCTTAAACAACAAAGCGGTTAGGGGCACTGACCTGACGAGCAGTCAAAAATCCATGTACTGATATCTCTGCCTCAAAAACAAAGGCATTGATAAATGACTCACTCAAGGACAGGAAGCTGAAACAGTTTGGATAGAATCAGGACCCTTTTTGATTACACGTATTGTGATCACTAATTGAACACAAACTTTTCCCCACAATTAGTTAATTCAAAGATATGTAAAAAGAAAATACACATACTGTGTTTATGTTTAAAAATCCACATATAAGTGGACCTGCACAGTTCAAACTCTTGTTGTTCAGGGGTCAATTGTATGTACTTGAGTCTTCTCTTTTTCTCTTGGTTCTTGTAGCTAAATTTGTCTATTTTGTTTATCTTTTCAAAACACCTAACACTTAATTTCATTGATCTGTGTTTATAGTGCTATTTCATTTATTTCTGCTCTAATCCTTTTTTTTTTTGCGCGCGCGGTACGCGGGCCTCTCACTGTTGTGGCCTCTCCCGTTGCGGAGCACAGGCTCCGGACGCACAGGCTCAGCGGCAATGGCTCACTGGCCAAGCCGCTCCGCGGCATGTGGGATTTTTCCAGACCAGGGCACGAACCCGTGTCCCCTGCATTGGCAGGCGGACTCTCAACCACTGAGCCACTAGGGAAGCCCTGCTCTAATCTTTATTATTTCCTTTCTTCTGCTAATTTTGGGCTTGGTTTGTTCTTCTAGTAACTTGAGGTGTAAAGTTAGATTGTTTCTTTGAGATCTTTCTTTTTTCTTCATGTAGACATTTATTGCTATAAACTTCCCTTTTAAGCTGCTTTTTCTGCAGCCCATAAGTTTTGGTATTTGTGTTTCCATTTTCATTTGTCTCAAGATACTTTCTGATGTCTCTTTTGATTTCTTCTTTGACTTCTTTGTTGTTCAAGTGTTATTTAATTTCTACATATCTGTGAATTTTCCAGTTTTCCTCTTAGTATTGATTCCTGGTTTCATACCATTATAGTCAGAACAATCCTTGATATGATTTCAGTACTCTTAAATTTGTTAAGACTTGTTTTGTGGCCCTGCATATGATCTTCTTTTCTTTCTTTTTTTTTTTTTTGCTTCTGTTTTTGATGTCATCTCCAAGAAATGATTGCCAAATCCATTGTTATGAATCTTTTCACCTAAGCTTTTCTTTTAAGACTTTTATAGTTTTAGCTCTTACAATTAAGACTTTGATCCATTTTGAGTTCATTTTTGTATGTGGTGTTAGGTAAGGATCCACTTCATTCTTTTACGTGGATATTCAGAATATCATTTTTTGTTGAAAAAACTGCCTATCCCCATTGTACAGTTTTGACACTTATGGAAAATTATTTAACTATATATGCAATAATTTGTTTCTGGGCTGTCTGTCGTATTCTGTTGGTCTTTATGTTTGTCTTTATGCCAGTACCATACTGTTGAGACTACTGTAGCCGTGTAGTAAGCTTGAAAATTAGAAAGTATGAGCCTTCCATTATTGTTCATCTTTTTCAATATTGTTTTGACTGTTTGGGGTTTCTTGATATTTCATATCAATTTTAGGATGGAGTTTTCTATTTATGCCCCCAAAAGTTAGAATTTTGATAGGGATTATATTAAATTTGTAGATCACTTTGGTTAGTATTGACATTTAACAATATTAAATCTTCCAATACATGAACATGGGATATCTTTTCATTTATTTATGTCTTTAGTTTCTTTCAGCAATGTTTTGTAGGTTTAAGTGTACAAGTATTTCTCCTCCTTGGTTCAGTTAATTCCTAATTACTTTATTCCTTTTGATGCTATTGTAAGTGGAAATTTAAAAAATTTTTTCTTTTGGATTGTTCATTATTAGTGTATAGAAACACAACTGATTTTTGCATGTTGATTTTATGTCCTGCGACTTTGCTAAATTCTTTTATTCTAACATTTTGTGCGTGTGTGTGTATGTAATCTTTAGGATTTTCATGTCACCTGCAAAGAGAACTAATTTTACTTCCTCCTTTTCAGTTTGAAAGCTTTTTATTTTTCTTTTTCCTGCCTAATTGCTCTGGCTAGAACTTCCAATACTATATTGAACAGACGTTGTGAAAGCAGGTATATTTGTCTTTTTCTTGATCTTAGAAGAAGATTGAGCATTGAGCATAATGTTGGCTTTTTGTTATGTTAGGGTAGTTTCCTTCTATTAATTGTTTGTTGAAAGTGTTTAATTTTAATCATGAAAGTGTGTTGAATTTTGTCAAATGCTTTTTTTGCAGTAATTGAGATGATCATGCATCTCTTCCTTCAGTCTGTTAGTGGGGTATATTACATTGAGTGATTTTTGTATGTTGAATCATTCTTGCATTCTAGGAAGAAATCCCACTTGGTTATGGTGTATAATCCTTTTAATAATGTGCCAAATTTGGTTTGCTAGTATTTTGTTGATGATTTTTGCATCATTATTCATAAGGGATATTGTTTTGTAGTTTTCTTGTAGTGTCTTTCTGACTTGGGTACCAGTGTAATACTGGTCTCATAGAATGAGTTAGGAGGCATTCTCTCTTCTTTAATTTTGTGGAAGAGTTTGAGAAGGGTTGATGTTAATTCCTTGTAGAACTTGGTAGAATTCTCCAGTGAAGCCATTTGGTCCATGGCTTTTCTTTGTTGAGAGACTCTGTATTTATTTATTTATTTATTTTTTGAGTTTTTAAAGTGATTCTTATGCATAGCTAGAGCTGAGAATCCCTGCTATGGATATAATCTGATTACTTTAGCAATTTGAGTACTTTAGAAACAAAATCAGAAACTTCTTTGCTGGCTACCTTTCCTTTACTCAGTCACTGGATTTTCTCTAGGGTTCTGTCCCTTCTCATGCTATATGCTTTCCTTTGGCATATATCTAATGGTTTTAGGTCCCATTTGTAACCTTGTGGTTCCATCTTAGACTTCTCTTGAACTATCTTATCTACTAGACTGAATTTCTTAAGGATAGTACCCCTGTCTTACTCATTTTAGTATTACCAATGCTTACCACAATGCCTAGAGCATAGTAAGTATTCAGTATACACATATGAATGAATGAATACATCTTCATCTGTGATTTACATATCACAAGCAAAGGGGGACTTTTGGGGAGCTTATGAAGATGTACAAGACAGCTTCCTCTGTCTAAATACAATAATATTGGCCAGATAAGGAACAAATGTAAGGAGCTTTGGCTCTCAAATATAGAAAGAAGCTCTTGAGATTATGCTTTCTTCATTCTGTTCAGGGAACAAAATAAAAATTAATTTAAGAGGAAACATAGCTACTAGCATTAACCAACCTGAATTGTGTCTTATTTTAAAATCTTTACCATCCTAGAGTGAAAAGTAAAAATTCTGGCAGAATAATATGAAATATACTGAAGAATCAGCCCATGATTTTGTCGTCTTATTTTTCTGTTAAAGAAATACTAGAACCCTTACACCTAGTTATATAAAAATATACTGATATTGGGACTTCCCTGGTGGTGCAGTGCTTAAGAATCCACCTGCCAGTGCAGGAGACATGGGTTCGAGCCCTGGTCCGGGAAGATCCCACATGCCGTGCAGCAACTAAGCCAGTGTGCCACAACTACTGAGCCCGCGCTCTAAAGCCCGTGAGCCACAACTACTAAAGCCTGTGAGCCTTAGAGTCCATGCTCTGCAGCTAGAGAAGCCACTGCAATGAGAAGCCCGTGCACCACAACGAAGAGTAGCCCCGGCTCACCACAACTAGAGAAAGCCTGCGTGCAGCAATGAAGACCCAATGCAGCCAAAAATAAATAAATAAGTTTATTTTAAATATATATATGCTGATATCATATATTTTCAATAAATATGAATTTCTAGGGTTATCATCTAAATGTTGAATTGGATTTTATTAAATCCATTTATTTTATTTGGTATTATTATTATTAATTTTTTTTTGCGGTACACAGGCTTCTCACTGTTGTGGGCTCTCCCATTGCAGAGCACAGGCTCCAGACGCACAGGCTTAGCGGCCATGGCTCACGGACCCAGCTGCTCCGTGGCATGTGGGATCTTCCCGGACCGGGGCACGAACCCGTGTCCCCTGCATCGTAAGGCGGACTCTCAACCACTGCGCCACCAGGGAAGCCCTGGTATTATTTTTAATACCGGAGATAAATAAGCTTTGCCTTTGTCATATGGCTGTGGCCAAATATTAAGTAAATATCTTAATAAGTAAACGTTGATGATAGTATTTCTGAAAATAAGGTATGGGATTTGTTTCTTCTCGTGAACATGAATTCTCTACTGGTTCAAATGAGAAGGTTGTACAAGACGGCCTTTAGTTCTCTTTCAGTTTTAAAGTTCTGTGGTTCTAGAAAAGCTTTTTAAAACTAATTGGAAAAATAGTAGCAGGTGAAATGTGATCATTTTAATCAGTATCCAGAAATATTTCACAAATTTATAGCTTCAAACATTAGGTTTCACAAATTTTTATCATACTAGACCAGATTTATTGAAGAACAAGTATTTCTCTACTCTTCTTGCATTTTTATTTTCTTGTACCTCTTATTAAGCACCCACTCTCTTGTTTTTGATAAATAGGCTGCCTCTAAGAATCAGACTTCACTCTTGGGAGAACCCCCGAAAGAAATTCGGCTCAGTAAAAATCCATACTTGAATTTAGCAAGTGTGTTGCCCAGTGTGTGCTTATCATGTAAGTAAGAGCTCAGTATTAGTATTTTGGAGTTTTTATTATTATTATTATTTAATTTATTTTGTTTATTTTTGGCTGCATCGGGTCTTCCGTTGCTGCACGTGGGCTTTCTCTAGTTGCGGCGAGCGGGTGCTACTCTTCGCTGTGGTGCGCGGGCTTCTCATTGCGGTGTCTTCTCTTGCTGACGGAGCACGGGCTCCAGGCGTGTGGGCTTCCGTAGTTGTAGGTAGCACGCTGGCTCAATAGTTGTGGCTCGTGGGCTCTAGAGTCAGTAGTTGTGGCGCATGGGCTTAGTTGCTCTGCGGCATGTGGGATCTTCCTAGACCAGGGCTTGAACCTGTGTCCCCTGCATTGGCAGGCGGATTCTTAACCACTGCACCTCCAGGGAAGCCCAGTATTTTGGAATTTTACTGAATACTTTTCATAATGAGTTTTACTTTAATTTTTAACTTAATGGAAGCAAATAATGCTTATTAATCAATTAAACCCCGTGTTATGACCCTAGTCCATAAATTGAAAGAATAACTAAATTAAAGCTTTTAAAATGCATTCTATTGTATTTAAGGAAAACATCTTTTATAATATGGTATTAAGCATATAATCAATTTATTGAATTTTATGGAATCATGATTGAAAATAATTGGATTAAGGAATTATTTGACAATACTATAATTCTTTACAATATATATAGAATCATATTCCTAAAATATGAAGTTTAAACCTCTATGGAATCTAATATAGCCGGAGTATTTGCCAAATACCCCCCAATATGTTAGTTACTAATAATCGGCAGAAGTGGAATTCTCATTTACTCTTTTAGAGGCCCTCCTCAGGCCTTCAATTAGTAAATTAAAAGTATTAATTCAAATATAGTTTTAAGAGAAAAATCGCAAATGTGGTGTGCTCTAGGCACTAAGATATTCACTACAACATTGGTTTTCAATAGTGAAACATTGGAAAGTGCCTAATGGTCATCAATAGGGGAATGGTTAAATAGTTTGTCATAAAATGGAATATATAATTGAGGGAGTGCTATGTGTACTAATATGAAATGATCTCTAAAGCAAATGGTTAAGTGGAAGAAGCAAATGTGTGCATAGAATGATTCCATTTATGTTTATTTAAAGCTATGTATTGTTATATGCATATTTGAATGTGTAAATGCATAAAGTAAATCTGAGAAAATTAATTCTAAACTGTTGCTTCTGGGAAAAAGAATAGAATTGAATGGAAAGAGGTGAAAGATAAATTTTGTTTTTAGTATACATTCTTTGTATTTTATGAAGTATCCTCTCGAACCAAAACATTAATTTGTAATTAATTAATTAATTTGTAATTGAAAATTTAAAAAAATTTTAAAGCCAGAAAAAAATTTAATGTGCTTCTGGTATGCCTACTGTATTTTAATCTGATCTAAAAACTGATAGTTACATTTCGTATGCCTTATTTCAGAGATTAGACATATACTTTTTAAATGTTTCCATCAAGATCATTTACCCATAGGGCAGGCTTCCATTTTCATTGTTTTAAACAAATGAGACAATATCACATACTATATATTTTTCCCTCAGGAATAATAAATGTAGATATTTACTGGCAAACTAAAATTTGTGTTCTATTTGAGAATATGCTGAATTAATGGGTTTTGTACTCTGTAATTTATAATAAAACCAGCCAACTGAAATATATGTATTGATTTTTGCCTTAAGCCCCTGCAAGTAAAATCACTCTACAGAAGACTGGAATTGCAAGCAACATTCTGGATGCAATCTCTCAGGGAAATGAATCGCAACACACGTTGGAGAAGTGCATTGCTTATTCTCAACCTTTTGGTGATTATGCACAGGTACATGATTCTCAGGTTTTGATGATATATAGAAAAATTGCTTCAACTATATACTGAGTTCACTGGATATGAAAATGTGATTCTTGTAATATCATAAGGAATTAAAATTGCACTGATCTATACAATATTTCTTGCTCGCCATTTGGAATTTTAGGACATGTTCAGAAGATTTCTAAGTATGATTTTGCCTAGATATTTACATTGCATTGTTTATGCCAGTGGTGAGCAAATGACAGAGCAAATCCAGCCCACAACCTGTTTTGTAAATAAAGTTTTACTGGGATATAGCCACATCCATTTATTTGCACGTTGTCTATGGTGCGTTGTGCTACAACGGCAGAGTTGAGTAGTTACAACAGGTACTGTGTGGCCCACAGGACCAGATATTTACTCTCTGGCTCTTTACAGAAAAACTCTGCTGACATCTGGTTTACACCAGTGTAGACATGACTAAGAAGCCCAAGGAAATGCCTCTGTTCTTCCCCACCGCTTGTGTATGTAGAGACATGATCATAACTAGCACTATTATGCTAACTCTTAAAAAAATCAATCAGTAACATTAAAAGTATTACATTCAGGGCTTCCCTGGTGGCGCAGTGGTTGAGAGTCCGCCTGCCGATGCAGGGGACATGGGTTCGTGCCCTGGTCCAGGAGGATCCCCCATGCCATGGAGCGGTTGGGCCCGTGAGCCATGGCCGCTGGGCCTGTGCGTCCGGAGCCTGTTCTCCACAATGGGAGAGGCCACATCAGTGAGAGGCCCGCATACCGCAAAAAAAAAAAAGAACTAAAATTTCCCAGAACCCTGGAAAGCTCTGAGAACTGATACAAAAAGCTAAAAAAAAAAAAAAAAATAAATTAAATATGTCCGTTTCCCTTTGGCCTTTTCTCCTTCAGCTTATTCTTAGTGGCTTAAGCTAAGAGTGTATATCATGTTAGTAGTATATGATTATGTAATCATGAGAGTCTTATAATTAACAATTCTGGTTCTTTCTTATTTCTCAGAGCAGTCACATTCTCAGCTCTTTCCTCTCTGGGGGAGCAGTACCTCCACTTTGCTTTTCTTAGAGCAGCTGTGTTGGCCTCACCTGTCTCTAATAAACTTAGAAAAGAAACCTATGCAAATTCACTTAGAACAATTGATGCCTGATTATGCTTTTATGATGGGATACTAGAAACACAGGTCAAATGGGTTCTATAGAAATGGTAAAGCTGGATATAACGATGTCTCTTCTATACCGGTGGAAAAGATGGAGAAATGTGAATTGGAAGATGATGCAATTAGGTAGCAACATACCTATATTTAAGGGACAGTAATCATGAATTGGTGCAATTTGGAAGGCATTCTCTTCTGTGTTTCATAAAACTCCATCATTGTTCCCTTCTTTGTTAACATTTTACGTAATGACTTAGATGAGAACATTAATTATATGCTGATTATATTTACAAGCGACAGAAGGCAGAGAAGTTATCAGAGATGTGTAAAATCATTTATGAATAATTTATAGTTGTGAAAATTAGAAACAGCCTAAATTTCCAACAATCTGTAAGACTGAATAAACAAATTATGTCATATTTTTATCAGGAAGTATGCAGATATTAAAAATCATGTAAAACAATGTGTAAACACATGGTAAATTTTTATAATCTATTTTTAATCTCAAAAATTTATAAAATATAGTCATGTGCAATTCTAATTTTTTGGGTTTTTTTTTTTTACAAGGAACAAAATTTACTTTCATAAACAAGAGGAAGCACAATAAATTTTTAAAAACACTTAAATGTGTGATTTAAGCTTTAAAAGTTATTTTTATACTTTTTCACTTTTGAAATTTGTGTTGCTTTTCTCACTAGCAGTTTTGCTTGTTAGATTACTGTGTTTTATTATACACTTATATCCATAGAAAGACCTTTCCCATTTACTCATGGAGAAATTCTGTGATAAAGATGCCTTTGCATTGCCAGCCTTCCTCCTGCCTCTGCACTTGCTTAACCAGAGAACTTGTGGAGATGTGCATCCTCCCTTGATTCAGTGTCTCCTTGGACATTCCCTGCTGTTTCCTCATGCTTGTTCATGTTGTTTTCTCTCCTTGTGTTCTTTCATCCTTATAACCTAAACTTAATTAAATGCTACCAATTGAATAACTAGTAAAAGTTGGTCATGCTTTAGGAATTCCTTCTATTTCCACTGTTAGAATGCAGGAAAAGGTCCAAGGAAAAGAAAGCAAGGTTTGTTTTCAACATTTACTGTATGCTTTATAATATAAACATTTGATCTTTTTAACAGTCTTGTGATATCTAAATGACCACTTCCATAATACAAGTGGAAAAGCATAAGGGGTAAATAAACTTTCAAGTTTATGCAGTTAGTAAAGGATTTCTCTGATTCCAAAATCCACATTATTTTCATTATACCATGGAGAAATTTCTTCAGGCATGAAAGTAGTGTCTTATAGAAACTGTTTGGTTGTTTGCTTTGTACTAGCAACTGTGCATGAGGATTAGGAGAGATGGCTATGTCAAAATATAGATGGATATAATACTCTTTATTTCTAATAAAACTATCACATTTAAAAATCCTAATTGGCGGGCTTCCCTGGTGGTGCAGTGGTTGAGAGTCCGCCTGCCGATGCAGGGGCCATGGGTTCGTGCCCCGGTCCGGGAGGATCCCACATGCCGCGGAGCAGCTGGGCCCGTGAGCCATGGCCGCTGAGCCTGCGCGTCCAGAGCCTGTGCTCTGCAACAGGGGAGGCCACAACAGTCAGACGCCCGCGTACCGCAAAAAAAAAAAAAAAAAAAAAAAAAATCCTAATTGGCATACTAGTATTGGTGAAGCTACTTGTATCAGATTATCCCTCCTGCACATAATGGTTATTAAAATTGTATCAAATATGAAACAAAAACATTTGAAGACCCTGAAGAATGACCAAAAGCGGGCAGAAACTGAAGGGGAACCAGTCCTTGAAGGAGGGAAACTGCATTGGATGAGATTTATGTTTCTGTGGCTTTTTGCCTAACACCATCCCACCCCACTGCCAGCCTATGCAGAAAGATGCAGTCTTACCAGCTGATGGAGTCAGAGGACAGAGTTCAGGACTGTTAGCAAGGCTGGAAAGTAAGGGGGAAATCTCAGAAAAATCTCTGTGTAAACTCAGCCCACATACACTTGACTGACTTTTGAACTTTGTGTGAGGGGACTCCAGGGGACCTGGTGGCAAACAACAGATGGAAGGCTAAAGAACCATGAAGAGATTCAGTTCCTTTCCAGCACAGAGGAGGTAGTTTGGAGTTTGAGTTCATAAAAGTTGACTCCTTCTCAGCAAAGATCAACAAACTTCAGAGGAAGGTTATACAATCCATAGTATCTATGAATATATCATCCACAATGTTCAGTAAACAAAAATAATTAGAAAGTTGAAAAAACAAGAAAATGTTACCCACAATTAAGGGGATAAGCAATTAATAGAAACTGACCCCAAGATGAACCAGATGTTGGTATTAGTAGACAAAGACTTAAAACAACTATTATAAACAGGACTTAAAGGAAATAAAGTAAAAATGAACAGGTGGGGAATTTCAGGAAGAAATATAAACTTAAAAAAGAATAGAAACTCTGGAACTAAAAAGTACAGTATCCGGGGCTTCCCTGGTGGCGCAGTGCTTGAGAGTCCGCCTGCCGATGCAGGGGACGCGGGTTCGTGCCCCGTTTCGGGAAGATCCCACATGCCGCGGAGCGGCTGGGCCCGTGAGCCATGGCCACTGAGCCTGCGCGTCCGGAGCCTGTGCTCCGCAGATGGGAGAGGCCACAACAGTGAGAGGCCCGCATAACGCAAGGAAAAAATAAATAAATAAATAAAAAAAAAATAAAAATAAAAAGTACAGTATCCACCAAAAAAAAATACACTGGATGGTCTTAGTAGAAGTTTGGAGAAAGCAGGAAAAAAGGTTCAATTAATGTAAAGACAAGTCAAAAGAAATAATTCAGTCTGAAGAACAGAGAGAAAGAGGTTGAAAACCAATAAACAGATCCTCAGGGACCTACAGGACAATATAAAGCAGTCTAAAGTAAGTGTAATTGAGTCCCAGAAAGAGAGGAGAAAGATAATTGGACATAAAATGTTTGAAAAAATAATGATAAAACATTCCCCATATTTGCTTTAAAAACGTTACAGGTTTAACAGAGTCAGAGAACTCCCCTGCAAAGCAGGATAAGTAAAAACAAAATATTATGTTGGCACACCAGTTAATATGCTAAAAAACAAAGTTATAAAGAAATTATCTTGAAAGCCATCAGATAAAAATAATGCATCTTATCTCAGGCCAGTTTCTCAACTTTGGCACTGTTGACATTCTGGGCTGGATAATTCTTTGTTTAGTGGGGCTGTACTCTACATCTTAGGATGTTTAGCAGCATCCTTGTCCTCCACCCACTAGGTTGCCCCTCACTGAGTATAATTGTGATTAAACAATTGGTAACTATGTGGGTAAATTAAAAAAACTATATATTTTCTCTTTATTTATTAAAGTTAATTAAAAACAAAATTGTAACATTGCATGGTGTGGCTTGTAATGTGTGTAGATACAACACATTTGACAACAATAGTACAAAGGACAGTATGAGGTGAATGAAATTGTTTGTGGGGTAATTACATTTTGCCTGAAGTAGAAAAATATTAACTCTTGAGTAGACTGTGATAAGTTATGGAATGTATATTGTAATCCATGGAGCAACCATTAAAAAATTCAAAAATTATAGCTAAAATGTCAACAGTTTAATTACAATGGAATTCTAAGAATATTTGATTAAACCAAAAAAAAATGTCAGGAAAGGAAAAACACTAATTAGGATGAATAGAAAGCAAATAGATAAGTAGTAAACCTTGATTGAATGATAATGGTAGTTAAGTGAAAATTGACTACATCCTCCAGTTAAAACAAAGAGATCGTCCGAACAGGCAAGAATGTACACTTCTACCACTTCTATTCAACAACATAAACTGGGA